GATGAATGGACAGAGGTGGACAGAAAACGAGGTATGCTATCTCTGGGCTGCATGTATTCGGTCTGTATCCACAGGTTCACCCAGTCTATCATCAGTGGGGCTAAGTGGGACCACTCTAAATATTTCTAAGTAAGAAAATAGGCATGAGTTTATGTATAGCTGAGACATGGGATATACATTTGAATCTTTTACTTAAGAGGAATAAACACATTGTGTAAGATGAAAACCAAGCAAATTTTGGCAAAAGGGCCACATTACATCTAAAGGACCTTTCTCCTCTTATAGTTACAATCATATCAGGGGCAGCTAGGCAAAGCTCCACTCCTGGGTAGGGTGTCCTATGTGGTAGTCCTAAAACAACTTTATTATAGTATCATATAACCAAAGAATTGTGCTTCAAAATTAGTGACCCTCCCCAAGCCATTCTTAACACACAGAGATACCTGTTGAGCAACAGAGAATCATGGAATCATGTGGCTGCATGGCTGCCAGGATCGTGGGCACATGGGGTGACATCATGCATGCAGTAGCCTTATCATGCTAAATCTTCTGTTTCCCCTTCACACACAACTAGCAGCAAACCTGAAAATGTTGTCAACTGCTCAGAATAAAACCTTAGCTTTTCTCATCCTTGCTATGTCCAATACCTTTACATCATATGACACTTGGGTGTGGTTTATGCCTGTCATCAGCCATCTTCCTCAATATTTAAAGGCTCTTATCACACCAAATATGCTGGGGAGAAGATGTTTAATACCTAAGAGCACAGGCATTAGAATAAACAGACCCCATTCTAATTTCAACTCTACCACTAACTGTGTGACTTTGGATTTTAATTTGTGTGTGTGTATGTGTGTGTGTGTATGTTGCTAGGGATTGAACCCAGGGCCTCACTTATGTGTGGTAGACTAGCAGCTTTACCACTGAGCTACATCCCCAGCTTCTGATGTTGGATATGAAACTAAGACTCAATTTTCCTCCTCAATAGAATGAGGATAATAATCAGAGTTGTCCTGGAATTTAAATGAGGTAATATATATAAAGTTCTAAGCCAGGTGGTGGAACATGGTAAGGATTCAAAACTAGGTAACTATCCAGCAGAGTTTCCTAACTTTTTTTATCCTTAACTCCAAATTGCATGTTCCCATAAACAAGTGAATTTAGAGCAGAGGTAATTGATTAAAAATTCTATTGCTTCCATCAAGATAATTATTTCATCAGACTGGGCTCAAAGAGAAGCCCAATTGAAGTGCTTGCTTGATATGCTTTTATTATATTTCATAACCATCTTTTGACACCTCTCTTGAGCAATTTTTGGCTCATCCCTTGAGGCAGGGCAGAATTTTAAGTGCAAATTGTAGATCTTGAGAGTTTTCATATGCATAATTTAATCACTGGAATTTTCTTAATCTAAATGTTCAAAAATAATAAACTGACTTTATCATTTGATTCCAAGACTAGAAGCTTGATGGCTTGTTTTGTTATTGTTGTTCTTTCAGTACTGGGGATTGAACCCAGGATCGTTCTATCACTATGCCACATCCCCAGCCACTTTTATTTTTATTTCATTTTATTATTATTATTTGTGTGTGTGTGTGTGTGCGTGCGTGTGTTTTACTAGGAATTGAACCCAGGGGTGCTCTACCACTAATCTACATCCCCAGTCTTTTTATTTTTTATTTTGAGATAGGACCTTGCAAATTTGTGATCCTCCTGCCTCAGCCTTCTGAAAATCTGGGATTACAGGCATATTCTAGAAGCCTGATATGTTAAGAGCCCTGTTACCACTCTCCTGATATATTTGTGAAAAAAAAAACCTTCTGTCTGTGGAAAAAAAAAAAAAAAAAACCTTCTGTCCCCTGCCTTAGCCTCTTCCTGATGAGCTCAGGGCTCCCACTGTGTTCCAGCTTAGAAATATGCAAATCTCATTTGAGTGCCAAAAACTAACCAAGACAAACTAAGAGTGTGATTAGAACTGTTGTTCCACAATAGCCAGGTTATGGAATCAGCCAGGTGCCCATCAACAACAACAACAACAACAACAAAAAATAGATAAAGATGATGTGGTATATATACACTCAATGGAGTTTTACTTGGCCATAAAGAACTAAATTATGGCCAGGTGCTGTGGGACATGCCTTTAATCCCACAGACTTAGAAGGCTGAGGCAAGAGGATCCCAAGTTCAAGACCAGCCTCAGCAACTTAGCAAGGCCCTAAGCAGCTTAGTGAAACCCTGTCTCAAAATAAAAATAAAAAGGGCTGGGGATGTGGCTCAGTAGTAAAGTACACCTGAGTTCAGTCCTCAGTACCAAAACAAAAACGAACTAAATTATGTTATTTGCAGAAAAATGGATAGAATTTGAGAGCATTATGTTAAGCAAAATAAGCCAGACTCAGAAAACCAAGGATTGTATATTTTCTCCCATATGTGGAAGCTGGAGAGGAAAAAGTGGGGGGAAAGCAGGAGGAATGTTGTGGGGAGCTATCTCATGGACACAGAAGAAGACCAGTAGAGGAAGGGAATCGGGGGAAGAAAAGGGGAGGTACTGGGGATTATGTGCATGTGTGATTGCCACAAATTAATCCACTAGTACATATTATATTACTATTATAATGTACCAATAGAAATTAATTTTTAAAAAGAAGAAAGCTCAAAGCAAAAAAAAAAAAAAACTATGTAGCTATGTTCAGGTGTAAATATGACGTGGGCTCATCGCAGGGCAAGGCTAACATCTTCTTCCTCTGCCCATGGTGTTTACCTCAATGTCTGGCACATAGTAGGCCTGCTTCAGCTGAGTGCCAGGGAAAGTAAGTCACAAGGAGAAGAAAACATGTTAATTGTGCCTCCACATTCCTTCCAGAGAATGACATGTGAAGTGGGATCCCAGGGCCCAACCGTATAACTTCCTTTCCCTCTTTGAGGGCATGTATGTGCACTGCTCTGCCCGAAGGGGCAGACCCACTGTCCTCTCCTCAGCGGTGAATCTTCTGCAGTTCTTGTGCCGGGAGCTATGGTGATATAGAGCTTCTTCACCTCCCAGGGGAAAGGCTTCATTTTCTTTTTGCTTTTCCCAAATAGCTAACAATCACCTTGGGGTTCTCTTTCTTTTAGAATCAATTTGGGCTAAGCTACTTTCCTAGATCCTGGTAAGAGCTCAAAGACCCTAGAGAAAGGACTCAGCCCTTTGTAAGCATTAGCCCATCACAGCCCACAGGAGGCTTTAACTCAAATTCTTCCCCTTTTGCACTCCTATGCTTACCTACAGAAATCATGGAAATTCTTTACATTCTCTCTTCTGAGGACATATGTATGGCTTTTCAGTTGTATCTATTTCCTCACAAATTCTGCTTTTTTTCTTTCTCTCTTTTTTTTTTTTTTTTTTTTTTTTTTTTTTGTACCCACGGATGCTTAACCACTGGACCACATCCCAGCCTTTTTTAATTTTTATTTTGAGACAGGGTATCACTAATTGCTTAGGGTCTCACTAAATCACTAAATTACTGAGGCTAGGCTTGAACTTGCAATCCTCCTGCCTCGGCCTCCTGAGCCGCAGGGAGGGTACACCACTGCACCCAGTAAATTCTGCATTATATACACAGGCTGTGGTAAGAAGTTAGAAAATCCAGTTTATTGCAGGTCTTTGCTTGTTTTGGTCAAAGGGAAACAGCCAGGCCTGCGACAAAGCCAGAGGGTCCCTATGTCTCTGAGCTGCCCACCTGGGGGCGTGTTCCTCCTGCTAAGGGTGAGCTGTGGTGGTTGAATTGTCAGAAGTGAGGAACATCCCTGTTGGTAATGAACCTGTTTTTTCCTCTCTGAGGACCAGGATGGAGTCTAGAGTAAAATCCAAAGGTCAAGTGTCAGTTTAGCACTTCTATAAGGAGTCACAGTTGGTCAGCCCTTTGTGTCCTCTCTCCCCACTCTCTGAAGCCATTCCATTTAAGATTTAAGTACAGCCAGCCCCCAGCTTCCCTTCCCCCATAAAATGCCTTGAGGTGCTTTCAAATGCTGGTCTGAGCCCTCAGGTATTCATGTCAGTTACTACAGGTAGAGAGCCTGAAATAATAAGCCCCTGCTCTGCCTCGATGTCACTCAACAGGTTCCCAGCCTCAGCCAGGCACTGGCATGTCCCAGGTGTTCCACGAAAGAAGGAAGAGTTTATGGCTTTCAGAAATAATCACTCATCACTCATGTTGAATAATTGACTTTGTATAATTATTTACAGCCCAGTTTTCTTTCAGATTTTAATTACTATGAATGTATTTTCTTGACATCTGCAAACTCTCACCTTTAGGCCAGAATAACTGGCTTAATTAAGAATAACCTAGCAGTGAAAATATCTAACTGAATGAGGATCTAAAATTATAGCACTTTGGTTTACATATTCCTTTTACTCTCACCAGATGGAAATTTTTATTTGAACAACTTTGAGATATTTGACTATGGTATAAAATCAATATTATACACCAAGACATCTTAAATTATATTTCTGTAGAAACATGAGAAATGTTTTAATCTATAAACAATGGATAGCTATGTCTATTTCCAGAAAATGTTTTTTTAAATCAATTACCATTATTTGTCCCATTTTTATGAAATTTAATTTTAAGTAAAAATGTCCACATTACCTTTTTTGAAAATGTGCTATTTCTCATTTTAAGGAAAAGCTCTAATCTAAAATGCTACAGAAATGTTTTTTTCAAGGAAAAAAGAAACATTTCCTTTATTATCAAGTCAGATAATGTTTGTGAAATTGGTTTGTAACCTCTGAAGCGCAACCCACTTGTACATTGTCATCTTGGATGTTTGTCTGAAATGGTATCACAAAGCATTCTCAAGCCCTGCTTCCTCCTGGGTCCCAGTGTGAGCTGATCACACCAAGCACACAGCAACCAATTCCGTATATGCCCCACTGCCCACTTCATACCCAGAGAGCATTTCTGAATAAAGCTCCCTCTGGTACCTTCCTTGCTCAGTTGTATTCTCTCTTGTCTCTGCAGTACTGAATGACATCATTTCAACCATGTTCAACAGAAAGTTTATGGAAGAATTATTCAAACCCCAAGAGCTCTACTCCAAGAAGGCCCTAAGGACTGTCTACAACCGCCTCGCTCATGCCTCCATTATGAGACTGAACCAGGCCAGCATGGATAAGGTGAGCACACAGCCACTGTCATCATAGCTGCATTTCTTGCACCTTTCATGGATGATCAAGACTGGGGTCAGATGAGATGATATTTGCAATGGTGCCTTGCAAAAAAAATAGGCACTTATAAATATTAGTAGTGATTGCTGACTTTTAAAGTTGGGAAGAACCTCAGAAGTCATCCACACCAACCTCTCCATTGGTTTATGTCATTCTACCTGCCCAAAGAGAGTACTGGTTTCATACCCATCATTATGAGCCCTGGAACCTATGTCTAACCCCAAACACAACCTCAAAACTTAATTCTGTTTCATTTATAACAAATTTCAATTCTGCAGTGAGGAAACCAGACATTTTTTTAAGCAAATTAAGCCCAATGTGAGGCTTCACATCTACAATCCCAGCAACTCAGTAGGCTGAGGCAGGAGGATTACAAGTTCAAGGCCAGCCTGGCCAATTTAGAAAGACCCTGTCTCATGTAATCCCAGCAGCTTGGGAGGCTGAGGCAGGAGGACAAGTTCAAAGCCAGCCTCAGCAATTTAGCGAGGCCTTCAGCAACTCAGAGACCCTGTCTCTAAATAAAATACAAGAAAGGGTTGGGGATGTGGCTCAGTGGTTGACCACCCTTGGGTTCAATCCTCAGTAGCCATCCCCACTTAAAAAACCCTATCTCAAAATAAAAAATAAAAAGGGCTAGGGATGTAGCTCAGTGGTGAAGCACCCTGGATTCAATCCTCAGTACTGCAATAAATAAATATAGGGCAAATTAGGGGCTGGGGATGTGGCTCAAGCGGTAGCGCGCTCGCCTGGCATGCGTGTGGCCCGGGTTCGATCCTCAGCACCACATACAAACAAAGATGCTGTGTCCACCGAAAACTAAAAAATAAATAAAATTCATTCTCTCTCTCTCTCTCTCTTAAAATAAATAAATAAATATAGGGCAAATTTAAAAACAAGCAGTCTTAACTTATAGCATGAACATAGCCATTTGGGAAACAAATTAGGCATTCTGGTTTTTATTTGTTTTTTGTTTTTCTTTTTCTTTTCTCAGTACTCTAGATAGAACCCAGGATGCTCTACCACTGAGCTACATCCCAACTCTTTATTTTGTTTTGAGAAAAGATTGTCTCACTGTCCTTGAACTTATCATCCTCCTGTCTCAGCCTCCCAAGTAACTGTGCCACCACACCAGCTGATTTTTAAAATAATATCACATAGGGGCTGGGGTTGTGGCTCAGTGGTAGAGTGCTTGCCTCACATGTATGAGGCACTGGGTTCAATTCTCAGCACCACATATGGATGAATGAATAAAATAAAGGTCCATCAACACTAAAAAATATTTTTAAAAAAATAAAAAAATAATAATATCACATAAAAAAGTGGCAGAGGATAGTCAAGTCTTTTTAGAAGAATTCCAGATGTTTTACCAGGATATTTTACCTTCAGGGAGGGAAAGCATTACTCCTACTCATGAAGTATGGGCTGCACTTAGTGACTTCCTTTCAAAGAATAAGTTATGGGGAAAAAAAGGAGAAAACAATTAGCTCTATAGTGCAAAAACCTGACAAATGACCTCACTCAGGGGGTCAAGGTTCACACAACAGTGATGTGTCACGTTGATAGTGTGTACCCTGACATGCCTCATCTCTGTAGTCTTCCTCCCCAAACCCATAGTCCCAGTCTAACTATAAGAAAAGCATCAAACAAATGTCATTGTCATGATAGAAATACCTGACTGGTATTTAAAATATCAAGGTTACCAAAAACAAGAAAAGTCAGAAAAACTTTTATAGCCAACAGGATCCCAGGAAGATATGACAACTAAATATAATGTGGTATCCTGGATGGGAGCCTGAAACAGAATAGGATGTTAGGGGGAAACTTGTGAAATCTCGTATAGTCTTTATAACTGTAATAACAAGTCCGTTTTAATATCTTCCATTATGTGCATTTTTTAAAATCATGAGGATTGACAACCAGTAGTAGGTGTGCAAAATCAATTCACTTATTCTTGGTACCTAGAAGAAGCCTCAGAGAGACAGAATACCTTTAACTACACCCTCTTAACCTCCTGCCACTTTTCTCTGGAAAGTTACTTTATCTCCCTGAGCCTGTTTTCTCACTGTACAATGAGGGGTGGACAATACTGAGATACAGACTTCCTCCTCTTCCTCTGCCTGCCCAAGTAAGTGGCAGCCATCTGCCACTCGGCATCACAGTCACTCTCAGACCTCTCACAAATCCCAAGATCATCAAAAACAGGACCAAGAAGTTCATCCAGTGCCAGTTAGCCCAGATTCGGGGGACAGGGAGCAAGTGCTCTACCACTGAGCCACACCGCCAGCCTAAGGATCTAGATCTTGGTGCCCAGCATTGGTTATAGGAACAAGAAGAAAACAAAGCATATGCTACCCTGTGTCTTCTGGAAGCTCCCAGGCCACAAGGAGCCAGAAGTGCTACCAGTGTGCAGCAAATCTAACTGTGCTGAGATTGCTCAGGGTTTCTCCCAAGAACCACAACACCATCATGGAAAGAGCAGCCCAGCTGGCCATCAGAGTCACGGATCCCAGTGCCAGGCTGCACAGGGAGGAAAATGAGTAGATAGCTCATGTGCACATTTATTTAGATAAAACCATTAAAACTGCATTTTAAAAATGAGGATAGTTATAGCTACTTGACCAGTTACTGAAAATTATTGCTCATCTCACTCTGCCTTTGAGAAGGTTTAGAATCAACATAGCATTTAGACTAAAAAAAAATCCTGAAAGCAGGGCATGGTGATGCAGGAGCTCAGGAGGCTGAGGTGGGAGGATCACAAGTTCAAAGCTAGTCTCAGCAATTTAGTGAGGCCCTAAGCAAATCAGCAAGAACTTGTCTCTAAATAAAATGTAAAAAAAGGGCTGGGGATATGGCTTAGTGGTTAAGCACCCCTGGGTTCAATGCCTGGTACCAAAAAAAAAAAAAAAAAAAAAATCCTGATTTCAAGTCTTAGCTGTGAGACCAAATTTACTGAATAACTCTCAACTTTTATTTCTACATCATAAATGTGTTTTTATCATTTATTCCTATCACAGGGCCCCTATACACAACATGCACTGAAATTTTGATAATAATGGCAGAGTCTCAAGTCTATATCTCAGTATTGTACACCCCATCCTACACCCCTATACATGAACCATGCTGTCCTAGTGTAATCCACTTTCTTTTCTTTTTTTTTTTTTAATATTTATTTAATTACTTTTAGTTTTCGGCAGATACAACACGTTCTTTTTTTGTATGTGGTGCTGAGGATCGAACCCGGGCCGCACGCATGCCAGGCGAGCGCGTTACCGCTTGAGCCACATCCCCAGCCCCAGTGTAATCCACTTTCTAAGTGGAAATGTTTGGTTGCATGTTGAAGTAATGGGAGTGTGTAAAGGGTCTAGCAAGTGTCTTGGAATCTGGTCATCTTGGGCTGGGGAAGTAGCTCAGTGGTAGAGTACTTGCCTAGTTTGCCCAGTGCCAAGAGCAATCCCCAGCACCGCAAAGATACAAAAAGCCTGATCACCCTGAGCCCATCTCATGCTGCCACTTTCCAGCTACGTGGACTTAGGCAAGTTTCCTCCTTTTTTTTTTTTTTTTTCTTTTGAACTGGGATAAGACCCACCTCATGGAGTTCTTGTGAATATAAAGTGCTTATCAAATGAAGGAATGTATACACATGTGCTTGACCCAACATTCAGATGATAGTAGTGTATATTCTCAATCCTGCCCCAGACATGTCCATACTAGACGTCATCTTCTCCCCTTCCTCCTCCTATCCTCCGCGCCCACTGATACCCCTGGTTATGGGTTATGGTGACCAGTCCTGCTTCCCCACATGTTGAAGTTTGAACATAGAGAAGCAAGCCAAGGCAAGCATATGAAGCAGGGTTTATTTAAAAAGGGGCAACACAGACTTCTCCTGCGAGGGAGAAGTGGGCCATAGCTGGTATCCTGGCATCCCAAGAAGCGAGGTGTTCTGCCCTTTTTATATGTCCTAGGCTTCCTTTGTTCTCCTGCTTTCCCCCTTATCTTTCTCCTTCCTTTGTACTTGACTAAGCCCAGGAATGCTCAGTGGCATGGCCAAAAGGGGGAAATAGGTGGGCTGAAGGGAGAAGGGCAGGATGGAGCAGCCAAGGACACATTAACAACCTTATAGCTCCCTGTAGGGAGGGGAGATTCCTAGGCAGGTAGCCTTGGGAACAGATTGGAGCAGGGGCTGGTTCTTGATAAGATCCCTCAGGGGACAGTCTCCAACTTCCCAGACTCACTCAAAATTGGCCTCTTAGATCCGACCTGACTCAGTTTACCTACACTGACTGCCTAATTCTGGCTTCACCATCTCCTGTCCATTAGAGGCATCATCCCTCTCCCAGATGCTAGGCTGGAAATGCTGCAGTCCATTTGGATCACCCTCATTGTCATCTCCAAATCTAGCCAGACTGTCACCATGTACTAACAGCTTTTTCTTCTCAACGTGAAGAAAACAAAGGAACACAATCTTCTTTTCCTGCCTTCTCCATTCCCACCATTTCTCTTTTAGCCTTAGGTTTGGATTACGCCAGTGACATTCCTTTCCTTTGTCTAACCAGTAGACATCTATTCACACCTAGTAGGAACCAGGTATTAACTGGCCCCCCTAACTCTAGTTCCTCTCTTCTCTCTATCTCATTGCCAGAGTGACTAATCTTGTTTAATCACCACTTTGATTGTGTCAGCTCAGAAAACTTCAATAGTCCCCTAATCCCCACCATTTTTACTCTAAATTATTTTGCTTGCCTTTCCAAAACTTTTAATATTCTAACATTGCCATACTTCCCAACTTTATTTCCCACCATCCCCAACATGAAAATGACATGCTTCTTGGTGCCTCCAGGCCCTCACATGCCTCTATTCCCTCAACTGAGTCACCTTTCCTTTTCCTTTGGCCAGTCTGAACCCTGACACTTCCTCAGACCCATATCAGTCCACTTGTGCCACAGAGCCTGTCTTTTTTTTTTTTTTTTAAGAGAGGGAGAGAGAGAATTTTTAATATTTATTTTTTTTTTTTTTTTAGTTATTGGCGGACACAACATCTTTGTTTGTATGTGGTGCTGAGGATCGAACCCGGGCCACACGCATGCCAGGCAGGCGCGCTACCGCTTGTGCCACATCCCCAACCCCACAGAGCCTGTCTTGACCAGTTTGATGGTCACCAGTTTCTCCTCTTGGTCTTTCCTGGATGTTTGTACCACACATGGGGCTTGTTGCCATCTTAGTAAATGCTGTTCACATTTAAAATTGGTCTTATATAGTTGTAGAACTTCTACTTGCCACTTTGACATATATCATCTCATTCCTTTCAGCAACCCTGCAATGTTGGGAAATTGGGTAGTAGTTTTAACAGAAGAAAATGCAGGCTCAGAGACATTAACAAAGCTGGCCAGGGGGCTGAGGATGTGGCTCAAGTGGTAGCGCGCTTGCCTGGCATACGTGCAGCCCGGGTTTGATCCTCAGCACCACATACAAACAAAGATGTTGTGTCCACCGAGAACTAAAAAAATAAATAAATATTTAAAAAAAAAGAAAAAGAAAAGAAAGAAAGCTGGCCAGGGCTGAGGGGTAGCTCAGTGGTAAAATGCATGCTTAGCATGTACAAAGCCCTCGATTCAATCCCCAGGATCTCAAAAAAAGAAAAAGAAATTTGGCCAGGGTCATACAAAATGTCAGCAGCAAAGGAGGACTTGAATTCAGGTTTCATTCCTTCAAGTTCAAGGGCCAGACCAGGACGCCACAGCTGCCAACATTGTTTCATATGTGTCCCATCAGCAGTACATGTCACATGACCGGAAATTCTGGTTTTCCCAGGAATGCCCCAGGTTACTCCTGTTGTTCTGGCTTAAATACTAATATCACCCCCTTTTACTCTCAGAAGAACCTTGGCTTAGGTGATATGGTCACTTGAGCTGTGTGCTAAGCCCGGAGCTGGTTTTCAGTAAATGCTTGATTGAATCATTGCCAGAGACCCTGACATCTACTTTTATGGTCCTATTTATTTTGTTTTTGTATGGGTTGACAGCTCTATGACCTGATGACTATGGCTTTCAAATATCAAGTATTGCTGTGTCCACGTCCCAAGGATGTGCTGCTGGTCACTTTCAATCATTTAGATGCCATCAAGGGATTCATCCAAGACTCCCCAACCATCCTGAACCAAGTGGATGAGACTTTCCGACAGCTGACAGATGTAAGAGTACCACCAGTTTATCACCTCTCAGCTCCCAAACTTGTCCTCACTCCTCTGTAAGAGAGAACAGGGTGAGGAATGACAAAGGCAGCTACCCTTCTAGAACATTCCAAAAATCTTAAGTATCCATTTTGTTAATATAGTAGGCATTATCCTCTTATGCCCTCCACTGTCACCTTCATAAGTGGAAAAGCAGCAGTACAGAGCGTAGCCATTTCTAACTTTCCTGAAAGGGAGTTGGTTTCATTTTGCTAAACCTTGGGGAGCAAGCTCTTCAGGTGTGGAAAATGGGGGAGACAAAATGTATCGCTGCTCTGCTGTGGTATAATAGGGTTTTTCCACTGGGGAGGAAGGGTGCTGGCACTCCTGCTGCCCCTCTCCTTGCTTATCTGTCTCCCATCCCTGAGCACCCCCCACCCTCACCTGTCCACAGGTGAAAGTGAAGCACCCTTGTGTCACGCCTTGTGAAAGTGAAGCACCCCTTTCTGTTTTGCCTTTGGCAGACGTACGGGGCTCTCTCTGCTGGGGAGTTCCAACTGATCCGTCAGACACTCCTCATCTTCTTCCAGGACCTGCACATCAGAGTAAGTGAGTGGGCAGCAGGGACTCTGCAGCTCTAACCTGGGGAAACATGGGTCATCAGGGCAGACAAGGGTGGAGACTTTGCCCACTTAGTGATGTCCATCATGGTTTGAATCCATGATAATACACATTCTGATAATCTAATAATACATAATCTGATAAGACAGTTTTTAAATGGACCAAGGAAAGGCAGACATAGTATATGCAGACAGATTATATGTAGTATATGCAGTATAAGGCAGACATAGTGGCACATGCAGGCTATAATCCCAGCAACTCGAAAGGATGAGGCAGGAGGATTTTTGCAAGTTCAAGGCCAGCCTCAGCAACTTCGCAAGACCTTGTTATAAAGTAAACATAAAAATATACAAACATACATATATGAAGGGCTGGGGTTGTGGCTCAACAGTAGAGTGTTTACCTAGCACCGTACTGGGTTCGATCCTCAGCACCACATAAAATAAATAAATAAAATAAAGGTATTGTGTCTACCTACAATTAAAAATATTTTTAAAAAAATAAATATGGATATAAATTAAGTAAAACTTTAAAAATAAAATAAAATGATAGAGTAGTAGTAGAGCATCCCTAGGTTCAATCCCCAGTACTGCCAAAAAAGGACCAAGGAAGACAATGGTGCTACCATTCTTTCCCAGTTATGAGTTTCTTTGAAATATATTTTGGTGCCAGGCATGGTGGTGCACACTTGTAATCCCAGTGACAGGAGGCTAAAGCAAAGGGATCGCAAATTGGAGGCCAGCCTAGGCAACTTAGTGAAACCCTGCCTCAAAATAAAAATTAGAAAAGGGCTCAGGATGTAGTTCAGTGGCAGAGTGTCCCTTTGTTCAGTCTCCAATACAGGAAGGAAGGAAGGAAGGAAGGAGGGAGGGAGGGAGGGAGGAAGATGGTTTTGTCTCTTGCTTCTCTAGAGGAAGTTGCTCTCAAAGCCTCAGTTCCAGCCTGACCTCAGTTCCAGAGTTCTATCCACCCTTATCATCCTCAACTTCTTCAGCACCACACACTGTCAAAAGGTTCCCTCCCATCCCAGGACACCACACCCTCCCTGCACTTCCATGCTCCTCCTCATCCTGGCCTTCCCTTCCCTTGCCCATCTCAAGGCTTCTCACTCCTTCCTTTCTCCCTGCCTATCTCCACTCCTGCCTCCTTCTGCCTCTGTCCACCCTCTGCTTTTTAGGCATCTCCCACCCCACCTCCTTAATCTGTGACTTCGAGTCTAACCTCTATTTTACCCTTGCCCAACACTGCCCCCAGGCTCACAGCTCCACCTGCTTGTAGTCACTCTCCGTAAGGATGCCCACCCCACCAGGTGAACAACTCAAGGTCTTTCCTAAATTCTGCAGTTCAAATGCTGTCCCAACTTTCAGCTTTTTTTTATGGGCACCATTGCCCCACTCCCTTGGCTCAGAAGCAGAGTGCCACCTTTGATTCCCCTTCCCTAATCTTCATCCAGTTGCTTCTAAGGCTCATAGAGTCTGCCCTTCCACAGCCACATCCTCCTTTCCATCCCTGCTGCCCCAGCCTAGCTCAGATTCCCATACTTCCTGCTGGCTACTGCCTCCCAGCTCATTCTCCCTCCTCCTGCAGACAGTTCTATATCTTAACTTTCAAAAGCAAAGGGATCGCAAATTCTGAGTTTGTAAATTTGTGGCCCATCTTTCCTGAACCTGATTTTGTTCTTTTCCATAATTTAGCAAATGAGATGAGAAAGATGGTATGATTGGCAGAATAAGCCCAGGCTTTAGAATTAGATGCCGCAGTCTGGCTGGGCACAATCAGGAGCCACTTGTCAAAAGAAACTAACTTTATTTTTAGAACCACACACGCCAAACAAAACAGCCTCTCAGGAAAAACCCTCAGAGCCTCAACTGCCACCACCGGCTTTCCACAAGCCTCTCTCTCCCACACAAGCTTCTCTCCACCTCCCACAATCCTCCTCTCTTGAGGCCGATTGGCTGGGTCACATGGGCGGAGCCAAAAAAGTCCCCCAATGAGCAGCTCCGTGGTCTGAAAGGGCAGGGAAACAGCCCAATGAGCATCACCGCAGAGGAGCCAATCAGCTAGATGTTGCTGGGGCCGAGGAGCCAATCAGCTAGATGTTGCTGGGGCCCCTGTGAGCCAATCATCAGCCAGCAGCTGGAAGTTTGCTGGCAGCTGGAAGTTTGCTGGGGCCCCTTTGGCTGTGGCTCTCAACAATTAGACATTTTTTTCTTCTTTTCTTGGTGCTGGGGATTGAACCCAGAGACATTCTACCACTGAATTACATCCCAGCTCTATTTATTTTTTATTTTGAGACTGGGTCTCAATAAGTTGCCCAGGTTTGGACTCAAACTGTGATCCTCCACCTCCTGAATAGCTGGAAGGATCATGGAGCTAGTGCCAGTGGTGTATCTGACTCCATCTAGGCATGGTGGTACTTGCCTATAATCCCAAATTACTTCACTTGAAGCTTAGTTAATTCATCTGAAAAAATGGAAATTACACTAGCCAATTTAGTTTGTTAGGTGGATTAACTGAAGCAACATATGTAATATGTGTGTATTTGCTGATGATGCACAAATGGTGTAACGTGTTTCTGGAAGGTTATACAAGAAACCAGTCACGGTGGTTGCCTCTTGGGAGTAAGGAACTGAAAGGAGGACAGGAGTAGCAAAGAGACTTACTTTCTTTTCATCATATATACCCTTCTGAACCTTTTGAATTTCACACCTGTGCATGCATAATATATTCACAAAATGAAATTCAAAAAAAAGAAGAAATAGAGTATGTTTACTGCCTTATTATATTTCCCTTCTATGGGCCAGGAAAGACAAATAGATTTCAACTCTGCTGCCAATTTTATTTTTAACCCTCATGAATAATTTTGATGTATTTGCTATGGATGGAGTAATAACATCAATATAAATTAAGACTCTACTAGTCATCGATTAAGACAAAAAAATATTAAAGCTAAAGAAGATTAAGTTTCACCTCAAATTTAAAATCAATTTTAAAATATTGAAAATTTCATATAGTATTGTTCTCAAGACCATGCATATTTTGGCATATTTTATGGATCACAATAATACAAACAGCTGTATTGATTTCTCAATTCTGACAAGATAAAATTCATAATAGTGAAAAGACTTACCCAATAACAATTTTATAGCAAAATCATTAAAATGCATTAAACCACAAAATATATTAAGCTTTAATTGTTAAATGGGTGGGCAATGAAACATCAGAATGTTTGCCAAGAAAAATAGGAATCACATGTCTTGGTAATATTCTGCCACTGATCTGTAACATCTGGGCTGGTTTTTCATGTTTGGTCTTTAATGGTATTTCTGCTCAGCTGCTATTTGTGATTGCCTATACAGATTTTCTGTTTTCAAAATGGTTTTTAGATTTGTAAGCAAAACAACTAAATCAGGAAAACAGCTCTGCTCTAATAGCTCCCTGCTTATTAACCACAGCAAACACAAAATTACCTATTCAATATCTAAGCTTTCTGTGATATCACCAAGTAGCATGAAATGCGCTTAACATGCCCAAGCCCTGACCCGTGTACCAGAGCCTGAATAGAGATGACTACACCAATTCCACTTGGAATCCTCCATAGTTGTTTACAACCATCTCAATTCTTGATCCCCTGAGGGCTACACTCCGATGACCTCTGGCCCACTCCCTGCCCTCATTCCTACTCCCGCATCCTTCCATCATGGACTTCCTTTCTGTCCTGTCCATTGTTTCCACTGTTGGAAAACATCATTCCATCTTAGGCTCTCCACAGAATAAGAAGAGACTGTACCTATGTCTGCACTCCATTATCCACACTCCTTAGGAATATTTCATCCCTGGAAAACAATCTAGTAAATATATATTGATGGCCTACTATGTGCCAGGCACTGTTTTAATTGTTTGAGATTCACAATTTAGAAATATCAAGTCCCTGCCTTGAAGAGGTTCTATGCTAGGAGGAAGAGACTGGGAAGACAGATATGTTATGTTCTTGTACGAGAGCTTTTAGGAAGATGATAATATTGGGTAAAGTTATAAAAGGCAACAGGGGTGTTGTTGTATTAGACCAGCACTGTCCAATAGAACTCTCTGGATGATGGAAAAGCTCCATATTTGTGCCATCCAATATGATAACAACTTGCCAGATGTGGCTCTTGAGCATTTGGAATAGGGACTAAGAAACTGAATTAATTAATTAATTTGTTTGTTTGTTTGTTTGTTTGTTTTGTAGTACTAGAAATTGAACCAGGGCCACCCCATGGTAGGCGAGTACTCTACCACTGAGCCACATCCCCAGCCCTTAGTTTAAATTTAAATAGCCACACTTAACTAGTAACTACTGCTTTGGAACAGCCCTTCTTTAAATGATAGAGTTAAGGACAGCCATAAATCAGTAATTTTCTCATACTGCAACAGTAATTCAGCCAAGGAAGAAATCAGGAAAACTGTCCCAGTCACAGTAACCTCAAAAATAAAATAAAATACTTGGGAATTAATCTAACTGTGGAGGTAAAAGGTTCTTCAATGAAAACCATAGAACACTGGAGAAGGAGATTGAAGAAGACTTTAGACAATGGAAAGACTGCCCATGTTTTTAGATAGGCAGACTCAATATTGTCAAAATGGCCGTATTACCAAAAGCAGTATGTAGATCTAATGCAATCCCCATCAAAATACCAATGACATTCTTCAGAGAATTAGAAAAAAAAAACAAAACAATTCTTAATTCATTTGGAAGAATAAAAGACCTAGAATAGCCAAAGCAATACTTACTTAAGCAAGAAAAGTGAAGTAGGAGGTGTAAGGACGCTGCACCACACTACGAATGGGAGACACCACACGACACAGATCACCGAAGAGGTTCCACTTTATTACAAAAGGCTGTGGGTTTATATAGACCTAAGGAGAGGTAGCAGGGCTGAGGTAGATAACGGGTCACCCGTTTATTGGCAAGCTCTTCCATATGTCAGTTCCGGAGCCCAAGAAGTTAATATTGGGGCTAAGGTTTCCCACCCGCAGGATTTGAACATTGGCGGGGGGTGGGGAGGGGGGGGGACACGTTTCGCGCCAGTGAAAGGAAAAAAAGAGGAGAAAGAGGGTCGTTAGGCGCCATGTTGGGGTTTTTCTCTGGGGTGCTGCTGCCGTTATATGTTTTCCCAACAGGAGGCAGCCCAATACCTACTCTGAAATTACACTACAGGCTGTAGTAACAAAAACATCATGGTATTGGCATCAAAATACACATGAAGACCAGTGGGAAGGAACAGAGACAAATCCACATACCTACAGCTGTCTGATATTTGACAAAGGTGCCAAAAATATATTTTGAAGACAGCCTTTTTAACAAATGATGCTAAGAAAACTGGATAGCTCTATGTAGAAAAAACGAAACTAGACCCCTGTCTCTCACCTTGCCCAAAACTCAAATTGAAATGGATCAAAGACTTAGGAATTAGAGCAGAAACTTTACAAGTACTAGAAAAAAACATAGGATCAATACTCTATCATATAGGTGCTGGCACTGACTTCCTTAACAAGACCTCCAAAGCACAAGAAGTAAAACCAAGAATCAATAAGTGGTATGTCATCAAACTAAAAAGCTTTTGCACAGCAAAGGAAATGTTATAAGTGTGAAGCAAGAGCCTACAGAATGGGATAAAATCTTGGCCAGCTACTCCTCCAGTAGAGGATTAAAATCCAGAATATACAGAGAACTCAAAAAACTTAACACCCAAACAACAAATAACCCAATCAATAAATGGGCAAAAGAACTAAATGGAAACTTCTAAAAAAAAAGAAACATAAATGGCCAATGAATATATGAAAAAATGTTCAACATCTCTAGCAATCAGGGAGATGCAAATTAAAACTGCACTGAGATTCCACCTCACTCCAGTCAGAATGGGCAATGATCAAGAATATGAACAACAATAAATGCTGGCGAGATTGTGGGGAGAAAGGTACACTTGTACAGTGTTGGTGGGACTGCAGACTAGTACAACCACTCTGGAAAGCAGTTTGGAAGTTCCTCAAAAAACTAGGGATGGAACCACCCTATGACCCAGCTCTCTCAGTTCTCACCATTTTCCTAGAACATCTAAAATTGGCATACTAGAGTGACACAGCCACATCAATGTTTATAGCAGTATAATTCACAATAGCAAAATTATGGAATCAACCCAGATGCCCATTAATAGACAAATGAATAAATTATGGTACACACACACACACACACACACGGGAGTTCTACTCAGCCATAAAAAAAGGAATGTAATTATGACATTTGCCAGTAAATGGATGGAAATGGAGAATATCATGCTAAGTGAAATAAGCCAAACTCATACACTCAAAGGTCGGATGTTGGGCTGGGGTGGTGGCTCAGCAGTAGAGCACTCGCCTAGCACGTGCAGGGCCCTCAGCACCACATAAAAATGAATGAATGGAATAAAGGCATTGTGTCCAACAACAACTAAAAAATAAATATTTTTTTAAAAAGAAAAAAGTCAAATGTTTTCTCTCATGTGTGGAAGCTAGAGTTAAATAAAGGAAGGAGGCAGGGAAGAATAGACAACATAAAGAACCTATCAAATATAAATTAATGAATGAGTGAAAGGAAGTCTAATAGAGGAAGAAGGATGGGAGGAGGGAGGATGGGAGGGAAAAGGAAGGATCATGAATTGAAATTGATTTCCACGCATGAATGAGTTTGTAGGGATGAAGTCACACTTCGTATAACTGTAAAGCTCTAATAGAATAAAAAGGAGGGAGAGTGTTTAAAACAAAGGACACCCTAGGCAGGAGGCATGGCTCAGTCAGGCACTGAGGCATGTGACTGCCCGGCATAGGAGGGGAGAGGTGCAAGCAATTGAGTGTGGGGAACGCAGGATTCGGGCACATGGCTGCTCAGAGGGACAGGCCAGCTGCACCATCTAGCAGACAACAGAGAGCTGGTCAGACTTAAGAAGGCCAACAAGGGTAGAGGGTCTCTTTCACAGCAGAATGGAGGCTGGATTAAAACAGGAAGACAGAAGGCAAGGACACCCAGTAGGAGGCTCCTGCTGTGGCTGCAGGGGATGGCAGAGGTCTGCAGTGGGGAGCAGTCATGGGATAGAGAAGAAGGGATGGTTGTTCAATTGACAGGGCATGGCGGCTTCTCGGATCAGGCAGGGTGATGGAAGGGGGCTCAGCTTGCTGACTAGGTGATTGGGTGGTGTCATTTGCTGAATTCCAGAGGACCAGCTTGGGGAAGACAAAGGTGAGTCTTTTCCTGAGCAGCATGAATGTGGGGTGCATTTTGTGGAATCTTCAGGAGGACATGTCTACCGGGCAAGGATGGGTGAGTCTGGTGTCCAAAAAAAGAGGCCGAGAGGAAGCTTGAGGTGCAGAGGCCATCAACACAGAGGTGCCCTGGAGTATGGGGGAGGATGAGAGCACTAGGGAAAGAAAGGGACTGTGAGCCCCACCTCCAGCTAACGCCTGCAGAGGGGCTGGCGGACAGACAGACAGACCAGCGGTCCTGTGCAGCCAGACGGATTCTCAGGTCAAGCCCCCAGCCCCCAGGCCCTGCTTTTTATACATTATCTGGCTTAACTGTCACACTAACCCATTGATTAGGCTCTTCATTACTCCCAGTTTACCAAAAAGAAAACACATATACAGAAAGATCATGTCTCTTACAAAAGAAAACAAGAGCAGGGAGGAGGGTGTAGAGCACATGCTTTTATCATGTGGGAGGCCCTGAGTTCAACCCCAGCTTGGAAAAAAGGAAGGGAGGGGCTGGGGTTATAGCTCAGTGGTAGAGCGCTTGCCTGGCACATGTGAGGCACTGGGTTTGATCCTCAGCACCACATAAAATAGAATAAATAAAATTAAAGGTATTGTGTCCATCTACATCTAAAAATATTTTTAAAAGCCGGTGGGGGGGACCCCAGAGCCAAGAAGGCCCACGGATATTTGAGCCCAGACAGTCTAGTATCAGTGTGTCAAACTGCCAGTCTACATATCTCTGCACCATGCATTTCAATGCCTTGCACGCAACAGAGGCTTATTCTTGATATTACTAATAGAAACTTGCGGAACTGTAGAGTTGGAAGGGATCTTCAAGTTTATCTCATTTTACAGATGAGAAAGCCAAGACCCAGTAAAACTGATTAACTGCTGCAATCTTTATTGGGGTTTAAAGTGTGAATGGGCAGAACCTCAACACAGAATAACAAACAGGGAGTGGAAATGCATAATGTGTTTTCGGCCATGTGAAAGACCTGGGTGCACCCTGCTCTGGCCTCCACTGCTAGGCAGGCCAACATGTGGGTAGGAGCTCAGGGTCCAGTCAGAAACAGGAAAGGCGGACTCCGCAGCTCTGCCCTTTATGAGCGGGCTATCTCAACCTTGGAGTGCGAATTCCTCCTCTATAAAATGGTGATATGAGGTTCTTACAACACAAGGCTGACAGCTTCACGGAAAGTGAGCAGGGAACCAAGTGAGCAGGGTGTGGAATTTGGAGTCAGCCTTGGTTTTGAATCCCAGCCCTACCTCTTGTGCTCTCTTTGGGCAGGTCACTTCACTCTGAACCTCAGTTTCCTCATCGTCAAAATGGGGTAACATGGGCCGGGATTGTGGCTCAGTGGCAGAGCACTTGCCTCACACATATGAGGCACTGAGTTCGATCCTCAGCACTATGTAAAAATAAATAAGTAAAATAAAGGTACTATGGGGTAACAATGACTTACCTGGAAGGTTTACTATATGGTTCAAAAACCACTATAATTGTGCATGTTATTTATATAAGATCTTAGTGCTATAATCTCACATGTTAACATCCCCAAACCATTACACACTTTTCCTCCTCAAATGTTTATGTTTATGAAAACATATTCATAAAAATAACACTAAACATATTTTTTCCAGGTGTCCATATTTCTAAAGGACAGAGTTCAAAATTCTAATGGTCGCTTTGTGTTGCCAGTGTCCGGACCTGTTCCCTGGGGAACTGAAGTGCCTGGACTCATCAGGTGAATTCTCAACAGTAATTATCCAACAGCTCTAGAGATGCCAAGAACCAGAATGTGGGCTCCACACAGGATGTGACACTGCCAAGCCCCCAGGTTCTGCTTGTCCTGCCCTTCCTGCAGCAAAGCTTAGCGATTAAGGAGGTCAGGCCAGGTACCGTGGTACATACCTGTAATTCCATCGACTCGGGAGGCTGAGGCAGGATGATTGCAAGTTAGAGGCCAGCCTCAGCTACTTAGCAAGACTCTGTCTCGAAATAAAAAATAAAAAGACTGGAGCTGGGATTCAGTGGTAGAGCACCCCTGGGCTCAATGCCCAGTATCATATAAAAGGTTGGGATCTAATCCCAGCTTTCCTCCTTAGCAGAAGAGCTTGTGGCAAGGCACCCAATTCCCCAGGATTCATTTCCTCATCTTAAATGGGTGCTATGAGGATAAATAAGATAATCATTCCCTAAAATGTTTACATAGCACTTGGCACATAAAATATGTTCAATCAATATGATTGCTACTATATTATGTATCTTTTTCTTGAAGAAGTGTATAAATATTTTTTGTTCTATTGTTCAAAGAATAAGGAAGCCTCCAGGACTACCCAGCTTGGAGAATATTCCATCATGTCATACTTTGTATTTCAGAATGTTCAACAACAAAGGGGAAGAAGTGAAGAAGACAGAATTCAAGCATGGTGGAAACTACGTCTCTGCACCCAAAGAAGGTTCTTTTGAACTTTATGGAGACCGAGTCTTGAAACTGGGAACTAACATGTAAGCAAGTTTTCCCTTCCTAAATGAACTCCAAAGGAGGTCACTTAAAAAACCAACCTGACTTCTGCTATGAAAATCCCTGCTGACAACTGGGGTACTTTCCCTAGATAAGTGCATGCAGGGCCCTGGCTTTTCCTAAGGCCATTCACAAGTATAAGGCAATCAACAGGCCAAAAAGGCGTATGCATTTAAATAGTCATAGAAGAGCCAAGCCAAAGGCTCCCTTCCTGTGAAAATCCAGAAACACACAGTCTTCATGTAATGTTATATGTCCTTTTTTTAAAAAAAAAAAAAAAATTTTTTTTAGTTGTAGATGGACACAATACCTTTATTTTATTTGTTTTATTTTTTCTTATGTGGTGTTGGGGATCGAGCCCAGTGCTTCATGCATGCCAGGCATGCACTCTACCACTGAGCCACATCCACAGCCCCATGTCTTTTTTTTTTTTTTTTCACCAAGGATTGAACTCAAGGGCACTTAGTCACTGAGCCACATCCACAGCCCTTTATTTTATTTTATTTTATTTAGAGACAGAGTCTCAGTAAGTTGCTTAGGGCCTCCCTAAATTGCTGAGACTGGCTTTGAACTTGAGATCCTCCTGCATCAGCCTCCTGAGCCACTGGGATTACACTGCACCCAGTGCTACATGTCTTCAGTGATACTAAATAAAGCATTTCCACACTGTTCCCCAGCATTCTTCTCTGGAACAAAGTGAAATCTGAGTGGCTAGCACAAGGTTGTATTCTGTACTCATAACACCTTTATGAATGACATTTAATGTTTCAAAATAAAACTTATGCCTAGGGAGGCTGAGTCAGGAGGATCTCAAGTTCAAAGCCAGCCTCAACAATTTAGTGAGGACCTAAGCAACTGAGCAAAACCCTGTCTCAAAATAAAAAATAAAAAGGACTAGAGATGTAGCTCAGTGGTAGGGCACCCCGAGTTCAATCCCCAGTACCAAATAAATAAATCAATAAAAATAAAACTATGAACTGTATTTCCAAGTTAGAAGGAAGTCAGTGAAAAGGGACTAGATAACAACACCATTTTCTGTTGATACCAGGTACAGTGTAAACCGGACTGTGGAGACCCATATGTCTGCAGCATCAAAGAACTTAACCTCACAGACACAGGTGAGCTTCTGCCTCCCTCCCTTACCCTCACTGCTTCTTTCTAGGTACATAAGTCAGCATGAGGAAAAAGGTGGGAACTCTAGATTTTAAAACAAGCCAATATTTCCCTCATTGTTTGCAGTCTTTTCCATTCAGCCTTACAAGCACACAGGTTTTTAATTGTAGCTGTTCACGGAGCCTTCCAGTGATCTGACTAATTAAGTAATTTTAGGCTTGGTTCAACCACCATAATTAAGCAGGAACCACCCACCAGGACATGTGAAATAGCATTGTACCAGTGTCACGGGGTCTGCGGTTGCGGAGTCCAGCACTAGAATGTATGGTAATCATTAAAACATCCATTTTCAGTGTTTCTCTATATGATGATGTGGTAGCTAAGTTCAAATGGGGGTTTTGTTTCTCTGAATTCCATCTTTACAAATTTTGTCGAACTGGATACCAGTTAGCTAGAGGACAAATCATGGAATAGTCAATTTTAAGTGAACATTTATTGAACTGCCTCTGTGGGCTGAGGACCCAGGGATATAATAAGCTAACATCAGCCAGGCACAGCAGCACAAGAGGCTGAGACAGGAAAATCGAGAGTTCAAAGTCAGCCTCAGCAAAAGTGAGGCACTAAGCAACTCAGTGAGACCCTGTCTCTAAATAAAATACAAAATAGGGCTGGGGATGTGGCTCAGTGGTTGAGTGCCCCTGAGTTCAATCCCTGGTACTGCACCCCTACCAAAAAAAAAGACCTGATATCAATGTGGTCCCATCCTGAGGGAGCTCATAGTTTAGTTCCCTGGGAAAGACAGCAATGGGAACAAATAATTATAATGAGGTGGAAGATGAGCTTGCTGGGTATTCTGTGACAGAAGAACATAGGTTCTGTCCAGCAGGGTGGGGGACAGGGGACAAGGATCAAGATGGCTTCTCAGGGGCTAGGGTTATGGTTCAGTGGTAGAGTGCTCGCCTACCATGCATGAGGCACTGGGTTCCATCCTCAGCACCCCATGAAAATAAAATAAAGGTATTATGTTCACCTACAACTAAAAATAAAAATTAAAAATTAAAAAGAAGGCTTCTCAGAGGAGATGATATTGAAGTGGGGCTCCAAAGTGGGTAAAATGCTGAACTGCAAAGGAGGAGAAATGGTCATGCAGCTGGAGGTGACAGGAGGAGCAGCAGCACAGAGAAAGGAAAAAGCATCCTGTGTAGGGAAGCAGGGAGCCAGCGGTCTCCACATGGCTAGATCACAGCAGTCCTGAGCAGGAAGCAGACTGCACCAGACAGGGGCAGTGGGCCTGATTAGGGAGGGTATTAAATAAGTTGGTTTTGTTCTTTAAACAGGAATCAAAACAGGGTTTTGAACTTCAAAGACCCCTTTTTTCTCTATATCTCTTTTTCAATCAAGTGCTACATGAGACAAGATCTGTGTTTCAGATAACTGGATTAGAGATTGCCAAGAGTCAGGTAGGAGAGCTGAAGGTGGGGTAAGGACAGTGAGGTGGGGAATGGCCTCGAGGGTGTCTTCCTAACTCTCACCACCAGAGGGCAGTATGGGAGCTCCTCAGGAATGGTGCCCTTGAAGCTGGAGACTTGAGCTACTTGTGATGCTGAGGGAAGTAGGTTGACATTAAGAGGAAGCAGTGTTCTCTCCTCCAAGGAGGAAGGTAGTCTGAGGAGAAGTGTAGATCCGTGGGAACTTCCGCTCATCTTGAAAGAATGAAAATCTCTGGCTTGCTGCATTGTTAGATTCCCTCTATTGCTGACATGGATTAATTTTCTTTTGGTTAAGTCTGCTTTTATGCTTTTAGTTGGACCCAGGAATAAAGTGTTTTTTTTTTTTTTTAATTATTTTATAATACCTCCACGGGTCTTTGGGGCCTTAGCAGGAAATGTGATCACCTTCGTGTGGTTACAAATCATGCAATTGTTTCTGCAGGAAAACATCACTCCAAACCCTCTTGCTAAAGAAGAGCTGAATTTCCTGGCCAGGCTGATGGGAGGGATGGAGATTAAGAAACCCAGCGGCCCAGAGCCAGGATTCCGGTTGAATCTCTTTACCACTGATGAAGAGGAGGAGTATGTTTTAAACCTGTTCTTTAAAGATATATAAAAATCCTAGGTGTGATAACAACCTAAATATGACAATTACAAACCAATGACATATAAATACAGATATAGAGATCACAAATGAAATACCAACAAATTCAAAACTGAGCTAAAGACACCCCCTGCTAGGACTAAATGGTCTGAACCTTCTGGAATATTCAGGAAAAAAAAAAAAAAAGAGTGCTAATGTTTTACTTACCAGAGCATGGTAAGCATCAGAAGTCAAAATGATCATACTAAGAAAAGTTTGTTAAGAAATTAGAGAGAAGTTAATGTCTTTGAGATTTGACAGCCTCACCCAAACCAACCCAGTAGTGATTTGCCAAGATTTGTACAGTGTTTCAGTTGACAAAGCACTTTTACATTTCGAATCTCATGTGAGACGGAGGCTGCCTTCTACTTCTCTAGTCACTGAAATAACTTCTTTCATTTACTTCTGTGTGACAGGCACTCTGGTAAGTGTTGGGGACACCAAGCTGAAGGGCAAAACCTAGAGCCTTTCCTCAGAACACTCCCAGCCTAATGGGAAAAATGAAGAAGTGCTTAAGTCATTTCAGTGCCATGTCATGAATGATCTAATTGAGGACACAGTGACTGTTTTGGCACCAGTGGATTAAAGGGGTTGGAGTTTGCCAAGCAGAGGGAGAGGGAAAACATTCTTGGCAGAGTTTAGAGCGTGCAGCAGCTCAAAGACATAGAAGGACTTTCTGGGGGCGGGGAGGAGGTTGGTTGGAGATAAGGGTGGAAAGGTGAAGACAAATGGTAGAAGGCAGAGAAAAAATAGTTTGCCAAATTATCAAGAGTCAGCTCACAATGCTAGCAGGAAGACAGCTCTGACCTTGGACTCTTTTCTTTACCATCCCACCTAGACATGCAGCACAATCCAGGCCAGAAGAGTTAACCTACGACATTATCAACATACAAGCTATACAGGTGAGTACAGGGGATTTCACAAGAAAGATTCTTATTCTCCTCTTCATCTTTAATAACCTTGAACTTCAAAGACTCCTTCTCTCTAATCAGACTGTAACTAAAGTCCCTATTCTAACAAACAAGTGGGCAATTAAAGTGCATACCAATGGTGAGACTAAGAATCCAATACCCACTGCCCAAAGAGGCAGCCCTGCCCACACACACCCTCTTCGTCCCTCTCACCTCGTTTCTCTAATAGGACCAGCAACAAAAGGAAGAGCTGGCTCGGATCATGGGGGAGTTTGAGATCAAAGAGCAGCCAAGGCAGAGCTCCAGCAAGGGGGATGATCTGCTCGCCATGATGGATGAGTTATAGCCTTGCTGACCGGGTGCCTCCTTCCAACCCTCCGGGGAGGGCTGCCTGATGAAGACCCCTGGCAAAGAAGGCTCCAGGATCCAAAATGATGCTGCTAGTTTTCCACTAAAGGAGGCTGTCACCTCTGGTTCCTGTTCATGATGTAAAGGACTCTGCAGGTCTCCCCCAGAGAGCACACCCTCTCCTGAAGGCATATGCATACACGTGTCTTCAGCAAAATATATTATGCCTTTGAAACCAGATTTTTCCCATTTATTCCTAACTCCTGGCAATCATTCAAAGCATCCTGGGCCAGACATTGAGCCCCAGAGTCAGTAAGGGGTCACTCCCATGATCATTTTCAGGTTTATGACTTCACCTTTCCTGTGGGAACCGACATCTCACTGATGGTTATAAATTATATAACAAAAACATCAGCATTTTCTGGGGTGTATTCTGCCCTGTATATGGTCTGAAATAAGAGGAAAAGGCAGTTGCCTCAATCCACGGGGCCCAGTTTAGACAGCCTTCCTCATCCGGCTCACTAGGAACTGTTACCTCCAAGGCAGGGTGAGCCAGGCCATGGAAGTCACCCTCAGCCAGGCCCCAAGCAGGGCACCTGGGGCATCTGTGCTTCTCTGCACATCTGCCTGTGCACGTGGCTTTGTCCCATTTGGAGTTGCGCACCAAGAGGGTGTTTGCCTGTCAGCCTCATTCTGTACTCCTTACCCCCAGAGGCTGCCTCAGCCGCGTAGTGTGCTTGCCTTCTAAAGACGCCAGCCTGGTGTGCAGTGACATCTGTCTCCTCTGTTCACCGTCGGTCACCAGGCAGAGCCTCGGGTTGGGTGCACAGGAAGCACATGTGGTGTTCTACTTTCCTTTGGGACCCGCAGAGCAACTTCCCTTGGGACCCTCATGAAGGATCTGGGGCCCAGCCTTGATGTTCCAGGAGGGAGCAGCAGCCCTGCACCACCACTCCCTCCCAGGACTAGGGAACAGTGGGTCCAGAGCCAGGCAATATCAGGGGCCTTTCATTCCTATAGAAGAGATTTCCAGATTGACAGAGGGTAGTACAAAAACTAAAATGAGCTGGGCATTGCCTAACACAGAGCCAAGTACAGGGATTGCTGTGGCCCCCACACTCTGGGAAAAATGGGGACAAACTTAGTTCTGAAATGTGAGGGCAGGGAAGCTGCCCCTCATCTGGCCCAAGGCATAGGGTTTGGATACAGAAAGATAAATGCGGGGGACAGGGGATACCAGGGCACTTAACCACTGAGCCTCATCCCCAGCCACCCCCTTTTTTTAGTTGTCAGTGGATATTTATTTATTTATTTATATGAGGTGCTAAGAATCGAACCCAGTGCCTCACACATGCCAGGCAAGAGCTCTACCACTGAGCCACAACCCCAGCCCCATCCCAAGTCCTTTTAATATTTTTTTTTTTTTTTTGAGACAGGACCTCGCTAAGTTGCTGAAGCTGACTTTGAACTTGCAATCCTCCTGCCTAGGCCTCCCAAGCTGCTGGGATTATAGGCATCCACTGCCACCATGCCAGCCACCAAATAAATTTAAATCACTTCCCACCCATTAAAGTTACACTTCCTTATCTATAAAGATACTACCTCCCCCACCCCCTGAAATAGTTCTGTTGGGAGGAGAAGCCTCCCTTGCTGTAACACCCATGCTGCACAAGTTCCTAGTGCCTTCTGATTAGTCTCCTTGAAGCAATCTGACCTGACTGGATGGCAGGTGAAAGGAAAAGTTCTGTCCTGTTCTGAGCCTGGCTCTCTCCATGCTGCCACATTGGGAACCACATTGTCTGCTCTGAGCATATCCTGGGCCTTGGAGGTGGGCCACGAGCTGCCCAGAAGCAGCAGCCTCCTCCCTCCGCCTACCCCAGAATGCTGGTGATTTCAAACGCATCCATCCTCTCACTAAATAAACAAGATACAGATCTCTGGTGAGGCAGATCTGTGATGAGGCAATCTTTGAGTTTCATGTCTCTAGACTTGCACAAATATTGAGAAAAACTAGTTTATTTGCATGGTGGTTCAGGGCAACCTTGGAAAGCTGAGAGTCAGAAGGAGGTAAGAAGAAAGAAGACGGGGCTGGGATGTAGCTCAGGGGTGCAGGGCCCGGCTTCCATCCCAGTACTTCAAAGAACCAAACCAAAACCAAACAAAAAGGTAGATTCCTCCACCTAAAACGTGGGTAAGTACTAACAACACACGGGTGTTCACTGAAACTCAGGCCAATGGGGTGCAAGGGTCTTAGGCAACAGTGCCCAGTATACCCTTTGGTCAAAATCAGGACGCAGCACTCTGGGTCCATCCCCATCCCTCCCTCACATTTACCATGTCATCTTGGGTCAGTTATCCTTATGGAGCTTCAGTCCCCTCAGCCACCAGAAAGAAAAAGACCTAGTTCAATGGCTCCAATCCAGCTGGCCAGGTGAGTTAGTGTGTCTACAGAGTCCAAGCCCTGCCCCAGCGGGGGACCTGGGAGTTCAAACTTCCTTTCAGCTCTTCTGCGACTATAACCTCTTCCCAACTAAGTTACAAACTGTTCCACTCTTGTCCTTAGAGGGTTAGAAGGCCCTGGAGGTTATGTGAGGCAAAGTTGTAGAAAAGCCCAAGGACTTGAATGGCTCCCAAAGAAAGTAGTAATAAAAACAGAGTGAAGGAGGTAGGATGTCAAATTGAGTCCACACTCAGCCAACCAGTTTTAGCCAAGGATAGTGGCCCACACCTATAGCCCAGTAACTGTCAAGGCTGAGCCAGAGGATCACAATTTCCAAGCCAGGTTGGGAAACCGAACAAGAACCTGTCTCAAAAAGTAAAAAAGGCTGTAGCTCAGTAGTGAAACACCCCTGGGCTCAATCCCCAGTACTGAAAAAAAAAAAAAAAAAAAAAACTTTTAAAGGTAAAATTCTCTTTTTTCCTTAGATATTTATCCTGATAAGACAGAAACAGATTTTAGCATGACAGCCAGATCCCAGAGATGCCAGCTCTACATAGATCAAATGCCCTCAGTCACATGCCTCTGCTCTATGGCCATCTGCTTCATCACTCTGGTTTATGTCTCGTATAAAGTCACACTGTTCAAGCCACAAGAAGCCATAGAAAGACAAATGCAAATTTTAGAAAAAAAAATATACTTAGCATAACACCTAATCTTAAAAACTTAAAATCTGAAAACTAATACAAACTTGACCTGCCCCTTCCTCCCTTTAAATTTGTCCTGGCAAACTCCTTCTCAGAAGCTACTTTCCTGGATAGCCAACAAGGGGGAGTTACAGGAAGGGACTAGAATAGGAAAACCCCTCCACGGCAGGCTTTCCCCGCATAGCTTGAGATTGGACATGGAGGAAATTCTCAGATCCTGACTCTGCTTTTCAAGTGAGAAGGCAGGATACAGTCCAACGGCCATGGAAATTAGTTTGGATTCTTTGGCTACCTTAACACTCCCCACCGTTGCCACCTCCATACTCCCATACACCCTGGATTCTTCTGGTTTCCGGCCAGCGGTACCTCTGATGAAAAAATAACATTTCCTGACAGATGTGATTCCAGATTGCATTGCCCAGCCACTAACAGTCCCAGCAGAGCAGGGGCCAGAACCCAGAACTCACATGTGCAGATCATTCTGCCCTTTACCCCTGCAAGCCTCCCTGACTTCCCCCTACCCCCCAAAATGTCAAGGCCAGCAGGTTTTCTGGGGGAAGCCATACTATGGGCTAAGGATATTAGACACAGGTTTTCTGGATTCCTGAACACTCCTCAGCTAAAGCTTCAATGGATAAGGAGATAATACCTGTTTTATATGCACTCATCTCCTCCTCCTGTCCAAACTGCTCCCACCACACCCTTGGCCTCTGCTTCTCCATGGAGGCTTCTCTCCATCCTCGCCTATCTGGCTGCTCACTTGTTCCTCTCCAGCACTCACATGCCTGCTGCCGCACCTGCACTCCCTCCTGGATCCCTCCCACTCTGTCTGCACAGACCCGATCCCCATCCCACCTGGCTTTCTGAATGCTCTTCACCTTGCTATATACTTTTCTTCCTAAAACTCTCTCACCCTTTGGCTCTGTGGTCCTAACCATATTGCTTTCTGGACACACCTCCTCTCTCTCCCTCAGTGCCTTCTGATTGAGGGCTGTCTTATGTGTTAAAGAGTGTGAGCCACCATTTGAGAAAGTGTCAGAATGAAGGCTTGGGGTGGGGCTCAGTGGTAGAACATGTGCTTAGCAGGCATGAGGCCCCCAGCCCAATCCCCAGCACCAAAAAAGTAAATGAAAATTAAAAAGTGTCAAAATATCCACATCCATATTCAAAAGATCCTTATTTCACCTCTGGCCTTTTCCATTCCTTACCCTTAGCTCTGGCTCTCACTCCATTTCTCACTCTGTTCTTTATTCTCATCCTTTTGCTAATGCTAGAGTTTATGACCCCTACAATGCTTAGTTTCCAATCTTCTGTGAAATAGTTTTGTATCACTTTTCCTTTTCTTTTTTTTTTTTTTTTAATTTCTTTTTGTACTAGAGATTGAACCCAGGGGTGATAAACCACTGAACCACATCCCAGCCCTTTTTACTGTTTGAGACAGGGACTCACTGAGTTGCTTAGGGCCTCACTAAGTTGCTAAGGCTGGCCTCAAAGGCTGTCTCAGCCTCCCAAGTTGCTGGGAGTACACGCAGTCGCCACCTTGCCGGCCCTTACATCACTTTCTCTCACAGCTGCCTTTACCTTTGATGGTTGCCTCTGCTCTCACCCGTGCTGCATGCCTGCTTCTCTGATGCTCCACAACCCCTGGCTCTTCAGTGTCTAAGCTAAAGTCATGTTTATTTAGTTTGCTTTGTTTTCAAAAAGCATAAAAAAATCCTGATGCAGTGGCATATACCTACAGGCCAGCCCCAAACTTGCCATCCTCCTGTCTCAGTCTCCTGAATAGCTGGGATTACAGAAGAAACTTTTCAAATTAAATATAATACAAAAACCTCAACTGGCAAAGGAGCAAGTGGCAGGTCATTGGAGTGGATCAGGCAAAGGTCCGGGGCATCCATAAAACATTGCAGAGGGAAGTTGGGCCCTGTGTGTCAATTAGAGCAGGTGATCGGGGGAGACCACCCTAATTCTCAGGAATCTGTGACCCTCTGCAATTAGAAACAGAACTACATACAACTCATCTAAAGGAACAGAGAAATCTAAGATTCCTGACATGAACTCATTCAAGTGGCCCAACCTAGTCAAGATTTTCAG